ATTGTTTATGTACATTTTTCACGTACGATAGCCACAAGCAAGTTATTTATTAAAATTTTTCTACAATGTGAGAAAATTATTTATATCTCTACCATTATTTATCAAACGAGGTTTAATAACAATTTTGTAAGAAATTTAAAAACTTCTATTTGATAATAGATACTTTCTACGTAAGAGTAGCCGAATCTGAGATATTTATGAAAAACATTAGGAAATATGTTTCGTTCTAAAATGAAAGAAAACATTTAAAAATCGTATCTCGAAAACTATAGGTCGTACGATGATGAATAAAAAACGTTTTTGTAGGAAATTTAATAACCTTCAATCTTCTCTAAGAGGTATTTCCTATGTAGAAGTAGGCAAATCCGAGATATTTACGAAAAAAGTGCGAAAAATTGATTCATTCTCGAAATGACCAAAAATACAACTTTTTTAAAAAAATTCTATTTCGGGAAGTATCGATTGTATGATCTTGAACAAAAAACCAAATTGTTCGTAATTTTGTCAGCTTTCTTTTTGATAGACTTTTATTTCAATAAACTCAATACTTTTAGAGATATTTTTGAAAAACCGCATTTTGATCAGTTTTTTTAAGGCAAAAAATTACGCAAGCATGCGGGCTGCCAGAACTTTTAATATGTTATATGCCATTCCAAACGACTTTCTGCAAAGAAAAACCTTTATTTACAATTTTGCTGTCTAGAAATTTATTTTTCCTGAACTATATTTCGATACATGTTTTCTTATTTTTATCTATTATACAACATTTTTAAAATCTTTCGATGTTAAGAAATTGTTATATACGCTTTCTTGTCGATAACACTACCATATATATGCATGTACATGCATCTACGCATGCACACAATTTTTATATTTTTTATTTTCTTTTCTTTTAAAGAAATAATCGAAATTTTTTTGTGCATGAAAAGTGTGCATTTAATTTCAGTTAAATATAACAGAAAATCGCTTTTTGGAGAATATCTTTGCTGTGCTCAAGTACGATGCTCATCACAATTTACAAAAGTTACGAGAGCCAGTTGACAAGAACAAGTGGTCGACTGAGCCAGCTGTAGTGAACGCTTTCTACAATCCCAACAGAAATGATATCGGTGAGTTATGTAATATTACTAAAATGTTTAGTCACCATTGATATACTTCGTCTCTGTTTCTCCTTATTTAATGTTTTTGAATCTCCATAATTCTTTTTAATCCCTTAAATACTTTTAACTTTTATATTTTTGACAATTTTTCTCTCTGTTGTTTACTATTATTTGTTACTTGATTATGTAGAATAAAAATGTTATTATTTGTTTAATCGAAGTAGTTTCATTTTGCATTTTGAAGTAAAAGTAAAGATTAAAGCGAAGTATTAGAGGAAAATGCTTGGTTTTATTAAAAATATGAAAATTTAACTATATTTACACGCGCGTGCTTGCGTGTGTGTATGTGTACATATGTATACAGAATGATTTATTTAAATCGAATATCTTAAATATCTCATTTATTTTTGATAAGGAAAAATGTTTCAGATGATAGTTAGACAAGTCCAAAGGGGATATATTTTAGTCAAGTCGTTTTTTTCTAGATGCAAACACCAAAAAGATATGATAATCACTTCCACTTTTTTAAATAAAATTATATGATTTTTTTAGGTAATATAATTTTTCTAATTATTCTGCATGTAAAAGTATTCAGGTAGAATTATCGAAAAATCAATAGTTTATGAGATATTTTATACTTTATGATCCCATATTTTGATATAAAATATGAAATATCTCGTAAACTATTGATTTTTGATCATAATATCTTAATATTTTAGGCACAAATTAATGAGACGAATCGATTGGTGTAAAGAAAACACATAGTTACTTTTAAAAAAATATGTAATTTGCAATATTCAACTACATAGTAGTAAAGTTTATTGGTCTCCTTGGGGTTATAATTTACAATTTACAATTTGTACAATTCTTATGTCTAACTTATCTTAACTTATTCTATCTTATCTTTAAATCTATTTTAACCTAACTTACTTTACTTTCCCATGGCTGTGGGCTTCACTTCACCACTTTCGGCGCTCGCCCACCTCCATGCAGCCGCATCCTACGCTCGCACACACGCATCTACGCAACGGACTTCCGCTTCCTCTTGCACTTTTTTTTCATTCTTCTTCTTTACTCCCCCCTCCCCCCACTCGCTTCGTCTCTCATCTGTACTCTCTCTCTCTCTCTCTCTCTCTCTCTCTCATTCTCTCTATTCCTCATCCATCCTTCCCCTTCTCTGACTCCTCCCCTCCCCCTGTCTCTCTCTCTCTATCTCTCTTATCCACCATTCTCCCTCCCTCTCCATTCCTAACACCCAACCCACCGTCCTCTGCCAACTTTCCCCTCCCTCTTTCCACTCCTTGCACTTCTCCCAAACGTGCTCCCATGTTTCTCTTTCTCCCCCACACAATCTACATGCTCTCATTTCCTCCTCTTCTCAATACCTCCCCTCCCTTATTTCGCTACCTAATCTGAATCTGGCCATCCTTTTCTATCTACTTTCCCCCCATCGCTTTTTCAAGTACCCTGGAATTCCCCTCCCCTTCACTTCTTTATACCACCTGTTAAGAGAATGCTGAAAGGTCGGCCAAATTTGTACAAGGTCGATAAAGCAGACTCTTCAGTGTCAGTAGTATCTCTAAATGAACTTCTTACAATATCTTCTGATCTCACTCAAACACGTGGAATGTCCTTATTTAACTTATTGAAGTGCCATCTCTTGGAAAATCCGGCACTTACTACCAGACGCAATTTTTGCTGTCTTTACTTTAGCCGAGAGTACAAATTACCACAAATTGCATTCTAATGAACAACTTTTTTTCTATG